AAAAGTCATAACAGGATAAATGCGGTATGATGTGTAGCAATTAAATTAAACAAATTAACAAATTTGCAACAGCCACTAAATAAACAAAATTAAGTTATAGTTATAATCATCGGAAGCGGCAATAAAAAGCCACACAAGAAGCCATACGTAGTAGACCAAACACATTTTTTGCATGGTCTTGTTAACATACACGGCATGATCAGTTTTTTCACCCTAATATAACAACTGTGATATAACTACTAGTACTGTAGTAAAACCTTAGCAAATCAATCGGAAAACAGAGTTTAATTACTTAGTACTATATAATAAACGGCACTTAAAAAGCTCAAAATTTGAGATATTCTTACTCTAAAATTGCAAAAACTAGTCCGAAACATATAATTGCATTGTATAATTTTTGTACAGAAAAATTGCTACAGAAAATTATAAACTAGCTATTATTTTACCTCGGTATTCGCACTACTGTCTGCAAGAATCAAACTGTTTAAACGCTGGAAATAGCTCAATTCGCGACATCTCTTGAACATAATGATTCCGTAGATTAACGTTAAAGGAGCAATCTTCTGTTCGCTATAGCAATCCAATTCCAACATTTCTGACAGGATTTTGTAACTGAGTGGGCACATCGTCCTCAACTCGTCTGCGATCTGTTCCAGCAAGAAAGTATTAAGCCCATCAAAATTTCTATCTCGAAGCTTTGAATTAGTTTCCCTTCGAGCCACTTCGCGCAATTCATCACTGATCTTTTGGAGAACTTTACGAAGAGGCAAGTCGTCCAAACTGCTAGACAAGGGAGTTGTCTCAGTTGCTGCGGTTGAAGGAAGGATAGTCTGTAACAAATCAGAAAAGTACCAACTTATCGCATGAACTATGAACAATATGAAGTAACTATGTACTACCACAGCTAGGAGAAAGGTTACAGACTACAGTAAACTTTAAGTTCAAAATGCACTTAACATTGTCATTGTAGTAGTTGATGAATATTTTTTCCTTCTTTATGTAGCAATCATATTTTAACAGTCGATAATTTTACTAGTGAGTATTAAACAAACCTGAATTGCAGAATCAGGGTTCAATTCCATCGCCATCGGCGAATCAGTCGATACAAAAGACAAACCACGACGCCGCGAAACAATTCTATCAGGCTCGACTTCTCGTAAGCTTTTAGTACGGCAACCTCCGTCGCAGGGAGAAGTTAGTACGGCTTTTCCGTGCAGAAGGTGACTCGTCCGGCGTGCATCTCTTTTTTCGAACCAGAGAATCCTGCGTTTCGGTTATAACTTTCTTGAATTTGGCTAAATTGTTCAGCCTTCTTTCGCAGGGTCGGCACAAAAGGTTTGGCAAACCAGTCTCGAACGCTAGAGATCCGCCGTTTATTATTTCTGCGATGTGCAGCAAATTTTCATTTCGTTTTATGAATAAATTTTTGCAGTACTTTTTGTCTTCAAAACTACCGCAAAGACGACACATACATTCTGAACCCACAATAGATTTTGGATAAATTTTTTTCGGAGTTTCTTTTCGCTTTGCCATCTTTGGAGAGAACTTGCAATTGTTATTGTGTGATGGTTGCAAACCGACTTTTGTAAGGCGCAAAATACCTCCAACGTAGAAAGATTATGACATGTCAAGGTGCAAAAAGCATCACACCGCGGCACATTTTACTGTGTAAAGAATATAAGCTAAAGCCGAAGAATGAAAACACCTTGAAATCGATGGATATGCATTAAGAAAAATAAAACGACATTTATTATCATATGTGTTTTGTTTAATAAAAATATTCATGGTTCGCATATTGGTATTACTATATTCTTGATTTCGTGTTGTATTTTAACATGCAATAGTTTACTGAATATTAATACCTGATATTACTTTTCTGACACATTTTCCCGTACCACCCCTCCCTGAGTGCCTATGGAGGCGGCAATTCGAATTACCCCTAAAATCTGGGGGTTCACGTGACCAGAGGGAACCAGGGTCTTCGCCGGAGCCCGAGCGCAGGTAAAAGACCCTGGCCTGCGAGGTTGGAATAGTGTGCTGCCTCGCTTCGCTCGGCAGCAATTATTATTATTATTGTTATTATTATTATGACAATTCCCAGTATCAACATCATATTCTCACGCCAAAGCCCATTCCTGCCAGATTTTCAACCAAAAGTCGGTGTTTTTATTCGCATTTTCATTTAGTGCATTTTCATTTAAGCATATGAGTCACGTTTTAGGAGTAGCTTCTATTTTTGGAAACATTTGGGTGGGGGTGGGGTCAGTATACAATATATATATTATGGCAATATAAAATAGTATAGTTCTAAAAATAGAAACTACTCCTATAACGTGACAGGTATATTACTAGGTTACCCACAGGGCAGTAATGCTGCCTTTGACAGCAAAAGACAAACTACAGGGTGTTGAACGAGTCCTTCAGAAACATCCTATTATTGTTATCCTTGTTAACCCATTTGACAGCACCCTACCATTGACTGAGTATTAAAAATCGTCTGGCGTTGGACAGGGTAAATACTAAAGTCATTACTGTGCTGATGGATTAACAAGAGCCATTGGCAGATAGGTTTGTTAACCCATTTACTGGCAGTACCCTGTACCACTGACGAGTAAAATCTTCTGGCGCTGGACAAGGGAAGGGCGCATTGCCAGCTAATGGGTTAAACCACCGCGGTTAAACATAAGATTTGATGCTCCAGGAAATGTAAACAAACTATCAGTGTGACATCCCAGTTTATATATTTATATACTCAGAATATTGATTTCTCGGTATATACAAATATATAAAGTATATAAAGTATAACAACCAGCGAAGACGTAAGCCACTAACTACCCTGCGCGGCTGCGCGCAGACTATATAATGACATATATGTTATCTGTCCGTCGCCATCCGTCCGTCCGTCCGTCATTCATCCGTCCGTCCGTATCCGCGTTTTATCCTCACCCGTTTTTAAAACACAAAGTTTGCATAATTAAGGCAGTGCGGTTCGTCATGATCAACATTTTCAAAAGCGGCCAATTAGACCAGGGGTTAAAGGGCAATGACAATGACATGCAGGTGACATTTAACATTGCGTCACTAATTAAAATTTGCGTGTTTAATCATGTTTATCAAAGAAAGCAAAAATATATACAAGACAATCTCACATGTGAAATTTTTTCACTTACGTACTGCCTTGTGATGCAGTACAAGTATAAATACAAATGACAAAGTAAATCCTAAAACATAATTTACGGCACATTCAAGATTTTAATATCGTATTTCAGCCGTGCGTTTATACTGTTTGGCGCATTCGCTGCGTTATATTCATTTATATACACAGAAAAGTATACTGCTTGGCGCATTCGCTGCGTTATATTCATTTATATACACAGAAAAGCATGCCATTGTCTTTGCGGACCATAGGAAAAAAGCATTCGTCAACCACATACCAAATTTAAGCAATCGTTAAATCATATACATGTCATGGAAAGAATATGGAAATAATGTTGAATGAAAGCTAGCA